AGGGCAGGGGAGGAGGAGAGGGGAGGGAGGGGAGGAGGAGATTAGCCCATCCAGCAGCCTGCTGGCTCCTCACCACCCCACTTTCCTCTTTTTCCCCTGGCACAAGCTGCCCAAGATTAGCCTCTGTCACTCCTGTGCATGTGCACACAGACACCAACTTACTGGCTAAGTTGTTACGGCTTTGACATTCACCTTCCAGAGTCCAGCAGCTCTTCAAGTTACGAAAAACCAGAGCCAGTTGTACGTCATCTTAAAACCAGGTTGTTTATTGGCACACACGCGCACTCACGCTCATACACACCCACACGCCCGCTCCTGAGGCATGAAGCCAGCATGGGCCTGAGGCCCTGATGGGACAGCCCAGCGGCTGGGGGCTCGGGCCGCTGGTGACTCTCCAGATACAAAGGTACTGACTGAGCGGCCAGGGACGCGCCTTGGGCTCTCTCCCCCACTTGGGCTCTCTCCTCCACTGTCTCCCCAAGTGCTTCCCAGCTGCCCTGAGTGGCTGCAGGCCCGCAGCTGTGCCTCTGACCTGACCACCATGACAGGGGAGTTGTAGAGAGGAGGCCAGGGCTGTGCTCCCCCTGAGCTAGCCCTTAGACAGTCCCCAAGGGAGTCAGATGGCCTTAGGGTCCCCACTTCCTCTCACCTTAGAATCTGGGGTTCCTCATAATCTTTACACCCAATTCCTAGGAGTAAGGGCTCTTTCTCTTCACTCATTTTCTGCTCAAGAACTGCCCCAGTTCCGCTCCCAGCAGCCTGAGGGAGGGAGCAGAGACAGAGAGCAAGGCAGGCGGGGGCCCTGCCCCCATCAAGGGAGCCCTCAGGCCCTACTGCTGCACCTCTCCTCCACTGAGAAGCAGAAGGCTCTGGGCCTAGCACTCCTTCTGGACCGGGTGCTCTGGCCCATCACCCCACCTGCCAGCTCAGCCTCTGCCTAGAACCCAAGCTGATCGGGTTGCACACCAACTGCTCAGCCGCCTGCAGGCTGGCACAGCCCTGGCCCTCTCCAGGAAACGTGCTCCAGACACCTGTGCCCTCCTCCCACGTGGATAGCCCTGGGCGCCATCAGCTCTCTGCCATCAACTGGGGCCCCCACCCTTCCAGGCACCTTGTCAAGATGAGGAAGGGAGAAGGAAGAGGGATTTCTTGGGAGTGACATTTCTACCCAACCAGGACCTGTATTCCTCACCCCAGCTGCCACCAAGCCAGTTGAGGGTGCAGGCTGTTCAGGTCCCGAATTTAGAGGCACAGTACCTGCACACCAAAGCAGCCTTGAACACAGCGGGTGATCTGGGGAACAAGCGGGAGAATGACAGCTGTCACCAACACTGGATTTCCTAGACCTGGGGCGTGATTCACTGAGGGGATACTTGATTTTCTTCCCAGGAGGTCAGGGGAAGGAAGGCTCAGTCTACCTCTATCCCAAATCTGACTTTAAGGTCAATATATATTCAATCCACTCATGGGTATATTCCTATGGGGTTGGGTCACTAAGAAGTGGGGCAGAGGGGGACAGCAAGGAAGGGATGCTTGGGGGCACCCTTGGCAGTGTTAGCTCTGAGCTGCCCCAGAACCAGGATCACGTAACCCTCCCCCGCGTCCAGACGCAGCTCCGCTTATGGTCGGGGAAGGAGTCATCCAGGTTTGCTCTTCAGCCACTGGCTGTCTCTCAAGTTGGCCTCCTACTGACGGCGGGCAGGAGGGCTGAGCGTCCATCTTCCTGGGCCTTGGTTCACAGCTCAGGGGCCATTTCTCACAGATTGTTCCCAAACTCACATTTGGGATTCCACCGAAGCCTCCACCCCGCCCTTCCTGCCAGGCTTGCCATCTTGGGCATGGGCTGCTGCAGCACCTCCCCCCCCTGCCCCCAAGGTGGACCTAGAGGCAGGAGAGCCAGCTGTGGAGATGAGCTGGGGGAGGGAAATGCTGTAGGTGCTGAAATCAGATGTCAGACCAGTTGACACTGTCATTAGGTGGACAGGGACCAGATGGCAGCGAGGCAGAGTCTGGAGCATTCTCTGTCGGAAGGGTCATCCCGGCCCTTGGCGTGGTCCTTGGTGAAGGTTGCAGCCCAGGCCAGCTTAGGTCCAGGGAGGTGTCCCACCCACCAGAGCGTCTGAAGTCTCCCTCCTGCAGACTCCCAAGTAGGGAACGTGGGTGCCGTCAGGCCAGGAAGCGCAGCCAGTTCATGGGAGCAGTAGAAAGGACACAGAGTGGGCCCTGGGCTTGCCGAGGGTGAGGACGAGTATATGCTGAGGTCCAGAGTTACTGGAAAATCAGGAGACTCTCGGAGCCTGGGAGGAAGGAGGACGAGCGGGAGGGGTCAGGGCCGGAGTCTGAGAAACCCAGGAGGAGGAGGAAGCCGGCAGCCCCCGGCAGAGGCTAGTCCCGGAATGCAGAGAGCATGTGTCCGTAGAGATAGTGGGAGTGAGCTGAGAGAGAGAGAAACAAGCATCGCAAGGTGAGTTGGCAGTCAGGTCCTGGGAGACAGGTTTGCAAGGTGTGTGCAGCGGGATGCTAGCAATCGCAAAGCGCCCCAGGCCCAGGAAGCAGAAGGGCACGCCAGCAGCCAGCGAGCAGGACAAGAGCGGCAGCGAGGGCCAGCGCCCCGGGCCTGGCCCACTTACCCCGAGCCACGGGCACACCCCGTCAGACCCGGGGCGGGAGGGGGGGTCAGCAGGAGTAGGTCCGAACCGTGGAGGTCTCCAGTCTCTGCGCCCCCGCCGTCCCGGCTGGGAGGATCGGCAGCCGCGGGAGAACACACAGAGCGCGGGTTAGTGCGCGCACCGCTGGGGCTGGGCCGCGCGCCGGCCACGGCAGCGTTAGTGCAACTGGGCGCCAGGCTCC